CTGATGAAATACTTGACATTTCTTGCATTGGCCAAGAGCTCAAAAACAGAGACGGCTCTGTGGCCCCACGCTTTTGCAGAGTCATTTGCAAAAATGAATTAAGCAAACGTAAATTCATTTATACTTTAAATTCACTCACCAAAAACAACACCAACCATAAAAACCTCCGATCTTGTCCTGACCTAACCTTACAGCAACATGCCCACTCCTGTATACTACGCACAGAACTCAAAAATCATCTAGACAATGGACAGAAGGACCTGTACATTGATTACCATGCAGACTGTATCAAAAGAAAGTCACACAACCCACAAGTCAGCATCCAAACCTTCTTCAACCAATCCACAATCACCCAAGATGAGGCATGCATGCCCCCAACTACCTCAATTCAAACTACAGCCGGCCTTAAATGCAAGCTACTCAATGCAAGAAGCCTTGTAAATAAAATATCTGAATTTCCCCAATTACTAAATACGGCTAAATTCGACATCATATTTGTCTGTGAAACATGGCTCAACACATCTCTCCCTGACTCCATTACCTCAGTAAGAGACTATCATGTTTACCGATCTGATCATGAAATCCGTAGAGGAGGTGGTGTTGCTATCTTCTATAAAAAGTCCTTACATCTAAAAAACATCCAAGTTACCCAAGAGCTTTCTCTTCCTGAGACCATTATCTGTGAACTGACCTTAAATATCACATTTCGGTTTGTACTATGTAACAGAGCCCCTGATTATGACATCGAACATGTAAACAAGCTAAATACACTACGAACATGGGCAGCATCATGCCCACGCACTTTTATCTTTCTTGGTGACTTCAATCTACCTCATATTAACTGGACCCTAAACGAATGTACAAATGAACCCATACACGCAACCTTCTACAATGCTGTAACAAATCTGGGACCGGAACAACTAGTAACCAATAATACTAGGCTTAATAACTGCCTCGATCTCATCTTCTGAAATAGTTTGAATTCAATTTACGGAATACAAAGAACCCTTTTCCAACAGTGACCACAAAATGATTGACTTTTGTCTCAACATATGTCCACACAAAAATCATCATAATGACAAAATCCCCAATTATAACTTCAAAAAAGGCAACTATGATCTTATAATCAACTATCTCTCTTCCCTTGATTGGCAATTTTTATTCACTGGATGCAATACTGTTGAAGACCATTACAATGTATTCTTATTAGAAATCAAAAGAGCCATCAAACTATATGTACCAATAACAACTCCCAAAACCAGGAAAAACAGATTACCCATAACAATAAGGAAGCTTCAATCCAAAAAGAAATCACTTTGGCAAAAAAACAAATCTGGTCACGTTGCCAACTTCAAAAGCCAATACAAAAATCTATGCCACCAGATAAAAACTGAATGCACTAATTATCACATTAAACCAGAGGAAAACCTTCTATGCACCAATTCCACCCGTGCTTTGTACAATTTTGTAAACAACAAACTAAAAGACTCAAGGTCCACCCCACCCCTGAAAGGACCTAATGGCAAAGACTGCAACGACGACACTATCAAAGGAAACCTCTTTAACACATTCTTTGGCTTAGTATTTGTAAACAGCAATGGATCAAGCCCAGTATTTCCTAGTCAAACCACAGACAACTACAATGATCTAATACATATCGAATTTACAGAAGACATTGTTGAAAAAGCACTGCGCAATCTAAAACCATCCCTATCTATTGGACCAGACGGAATATGTGCTTACTTCTTTAAAAAGCTATCCACTGCCATAGCCAAACCTTTAAGCATAATCTTTGAAAAATCTTTCAGGACCAGCTCCTTGCCAAAACTATGATCACAAGCCACAGTCATCCCCATCTTCAAAAAGGGAGATCCCAGCCTAGTTGAAAATTACAGACCAATGTCTTTATGCTGTGTCATCTGTAAAGTCATGGAATCAATTATTAACCATTCCATTAGCCTCCACTTAGAGACAAACAACCTACTCTCTAATAAACAATTTGGTTTCAGAAAAAACTATCCTGTAATCTGCAACTCTTACACTGCAAAAACATATGGACTACACAACTCGATCAGGGCAAAGCAATAGACACAATCTACATAGACTTCTGTAAAGCCTTTGATTCAGTGGTACACGACAAACTACTACTAAAACTAAAATCTTATGGTATCTCTGGACACCTACACAACTGGATAGAAACATTCCTGTCAAACAGACAACAAATGGTCAAAATTGGGGGCGTCCTATCACATTCTGTACCTGTCAACAGTGGTGTCCCCCAAGGCAGTGTTTTAGGACCCACTCTCTTCATACTCTACATAAATGATCTCTGTGATCAAATTAAAAGCAACTGCATTATCTTCACTGATGATGTAAAGCTATTAAACACCACAGACAATACTACTACCCTCCAAAAAGACGTTGACTATGTATCAGAATGGTCAATCAAGTGGCAACTTCAAATCTCAACAAATAAATTATCTGTCATACATATTGGCAGAAAAAATCAGAAAATAAAATACAGGCTGAATAGTCAAAACCTTGTTGAGGATCCAAACTTTGTCAAGGACCTTGGAGTACTCATCTCAAATGATCTAAGTGCTAAAACCCACTGTAACTACATAGCCAAAAAGGCATTAAGAGTTGTTAATCTAATCCTATGTAGCTTTTTCTCTGGTAATATCACACTACTACCTAGAGCATACAAAAAACATTTGCAAGACCTATACTTGAATACAGCTCATCAGTCTGGAACCCATGTCATGTATCTGATATTAACACAATTGAAAAATCCAGAAATATTTCACAAGAAGAGTTATCCACTCCTCTGCTCATTGCAGAATACCTTATGCCACCAGACTTGAAACTCTAGACCTAGAAAACTAGAACTACGCCGCCTCCGGTCCGATCTAAGTATAGTATATAAAATCATCCATTGCAATGTCCTAACTGCAAATGAATACTTCAGCTTCAATCATAACAATACAAGAGCACACAATAGATACAAACTCAAGGTTAACCACACTAAACTTGACTGCAGAAAATACGACTTCAGCAACAGAGTGGTCAATGTTTGGAATACTCTACCTGACTCTGTGGTTTCTTCCCCAATCCCCAAAAACTTTAACCTTAGACTGTCTACTATTGACCTCACCCTCTTCCTAAGCGGCCTGTAGGGGATGTGCATAAGCGCACCAATCGTGCCTACCGTCCCTGTCCTGTTGTTTCTTTTATTTTTCTTATAAGTATCTATCTCATGTATTCAAAACTATATTTATTCTTATACCTGTATCTTGTAAGCGATTGACAAATCAAATTAAAAACCATTCACACACTTAAAAGGGTACCAAAAGTTGGTAAGAAAGATGTAGAAGGTTAAAGGACAGATTTGAATAAATAATTAACCTGAAAAAGTATGGATATGAGCCATTTCCTGCCTCGTGAGTCCTACTTAAAATGGATGCTAAAGGACTTTTTTTTATTCTTGTCAACTACAGAATAAGCCAATTAATCTGCTAAGTAGCATTGCTGAGCAATAGAAAAATATAGTTCAGTAATCATTCACAATAGCCAGAATTTGGAGGTACACTTTGATAGATCTCTGCATGCAAATATTGAGCCATAGTGGCGCAGTAGTTAGAATGCAGTACTGCAGGCTACTTCTGTTGACTCCCAGCTGCCAGCGGTACAGCTGTTTGATTCTTACCAGCTCAAGATTGACTCAGCCTTCCATTCTTCCAAAATGAGGACCCAGATTGTTGGGGGCAATATGCTGACTCTGTAAACCACTTAGAGAGGGTTGTAAAGTACAGTGAAGCAATATGTAATCTAAACCCTATTGCTAGAAAGCTAAACATTTCTAATCAATCAACATGTATCACTCTAAGCCTCTGAATCCTGTGGAAGGCAATTTATGTTAAAGAAAATAAAAAGAGTCAAAAAATAGTGGCACTTGCAAAAGGATTTAACTGGAGGCAAAAAATATGATAGCAACATCGTGGGTTCATGACTAAACCTTTCGTATGAGCATTGTAATGTTGCACTCTTTGTGTGGAATGTTGTTTTCCTCTTCCTGATAAAAACAGAAAGCTCCTGTGGATGCTACTGTATCATGAATCTCTTGGTTCAGACAGAGTTTGTGATGGCATAGCATGTTTTAGCTTTTCCTAAACTCATATTTTGCTCCAAGTATCCATAAAAGCAATATTTTGTGCTATTTCTCATACAAAATGCCTGATGAGTTTACATCAATCTTAAAATGGCTTAATTGGAGTTATAATTATGATGATTTAATTGCAGTTGACTTGTCATGCTAATTATATATATTATATAGTTATTTCTTTTGATCACAAATCACTAGTTTATGCTTTTTTATATGATTATGCTCCCATAATATTATTTTTTGTTAAAATTCAAAGGATCACAATATGATGAATCTTCTTTTTATATAAATTTCTTGAATGATCAGGAATTGTCCAAGTCAAGCATTTTCCTGCCTTTTGCTGGTGAAACCCTCAATGTAAATTGTTCTAATCCCATGGAACATTCCTCCACATTTTACCAGAAGTCTCTTGGGGAAAAAATCACCACTAAAACCTGTAACCCAATATTTCATAACTACATTGTGTTACATTTAACTTGTGGTAGCAAAATAGTTAATTACCCAGTGCTTTAACTGATTTTTATTATGACGTGTTTCTAATTAACCTAGTAACCCAATATTCTAATATTATAGAATCTTTTTAAACATGGTTGGCTTTTTAAGGTTAAGTTTCCTGCATGGACTTTGTGTTAGAACGATTCTATCACATTAGAGTTACAGTATGTTTTTAATAGCAGTCTTTAAGGTCTTTGAACACCAAAACAGAAATATTTTATTCTGGCAAAAGAAACCTAGACTTAGGAGTGTAATCTTTTGCATATCTATTCAGAATTAAACCTTGTTTAAATCAGATTTTTCAATAAGTGTGAATGACTGTAATTGCCAAAGGCTGGAATGTATGGAAATCTGTTCCTAAACACAATGACACTGCCATAATATTACATGTGTATTGACATCACAATGCAAACACCATTTAACATACATTGATCACAATATTGTATATAAGTATATAAAGTTTGAGTTTTCATTGTGGCATCATAACCTCCATTTGTAACCTTTGCTATATCTAACTGTGTTTATGCTATAATCCATGATTATTATTGTTAAACATATAACATATAACATATAAAATCACAGTTTTACACAGATCATGAGCTAGTGTTGGCTTTCAAATGCATCATGTTCTTCCCAACAATTTAGGACATCATAATGTGACAGTGTAGCATCTGAGTAGACCTAAACAGTGTTGCTTTTTGTAATTGACCAATGGAAATTTTGCACTTGAGTGATGGTGATCTTGTCAATGTCAATGTTTTGGGTTTGCATGCAAGGAGCCTATTACTATAGGTACTATCTTTGCCTACTTTTGTCAAATATGTTCTACTTCTATTTGCAGTGTTTTGTATTTTGTTACCTTTTTCAGTTTTTTTTATCTTCTATTCAGTAGTTTCCAGGTATTGCTATGTCTGCTTTTTTTTTGTCTTTCTTATTGAAAGCTTCTTCATTTTTTATTACTTTGTTTATTTTGTGATCCCACAAGTTCTTGTTTGCAGGTAAGCAGTATTTTCTACAGATATCCTTATGAACCATTATTGTTCCATTCTATTGCTAGTCTGTGTGATATTCTTGCAGTAACTGGCTGGATGGTTATCATTTCTTTAGCTTCTTTGCAAAGGAAGAATTTTCTGTCAGTTGCTCTCGTCTCAGTTCTGATTTTGTATGCATTTGTTCATAAGGCTTGGCCATATGCAGCTAAAGTTAGCCTCTCTGTCTGTCTCTTTCTTCAATTTTCCTGCTTTTAGCCATTCCAGGTCTTATTGTTATCTGCTTGGCTTGCTAGAGTTTTTTGTTTTGTTTTGTTTTTTAGTGTACTAGCTGTCTACTCTGCCTTGCCAGAGCCCTCTTCTAATCTTAATTAACTTTATTGTAGACCACCTTGGTCTCTCCCATATTCAGTAATTTTTTCACGTTGCAGTAGTTTCTATGCATTTTCGTCTTCAATATCCTTCAGATATTTCTTCCACTGACTTTGGATTTTAAACTTTTCTTCATTCTCATGATGTATTCATTTCTAACCCTTTTCTTGACTTCAGTGCCCTTGATTTTGTCAGCTTGAGGGATAACCCAGCTATTTGTAGTGATGATTTTCATCCAGACCCTCTTTCCATAGGCATCTTGATTCATTCAGTTTTAACTATTTTTCCCTTATTGATGATGTGGGTGGTGTGGCACATTGTCCAGTCAAAATTTCATTGTAATATCTTGGCTCTATATACATAGAGTGTTTAATAATGATTCTATTTCAGGTGGTATTTTTACATTAAGCTTCAGGTTATGCATGTAAAGGAGGGGAGATAGCCTGGCAGATGTTTTTTCATATGTAATAATTTAACTTGTTCAGTATTGTTGACCAAGGAATTAGGGCAATAACAAACAATAGTGATGATGATGATTCATCTTAAAGATTTCTCTCTTGATACTAACCTCTCCTACTCTATCAGCATTGGATTATAAAATGTGTCTTCCTTTTGTAATTATAAAAGTAAACAAATATTTGCATAAATCATGTTATCATAAATGGGCTCCCCTCTGGAAAATCCACTGCCAAACTAAGCAAATCAAAATAATTTCAAATGAGAATCATTCATAGATCTGTTTATGCATACAACTAGTAAGAAAAATGTAGAGCATAAAACATATGGGGAAGGACATTAAAAAACAAGAGAAACATACAAATCCAATGTTGTATAACAACAAAAATATACAAGTTTTCAAAATTCGTTGCAACTACAGCTTCTAGGAGTTTTAGTTATCTAAGAAAATTATGTGAGTGGTAAACTCAGCCTTAATATGCAATGTCATTCTTATGTTTGCTATCAAATGTACTTTTTTCCATCTTGTTCCTAACCTGTCTTTATTTATATCCATTATTAAATGCTGGTTCTCTTTATATGATTCGATATTCCCATGGTTTATTCATAGTAATACTTTCCAAATAAAAGTTAAGGCAATAGAAGTGCAGCTCAAAAACTTGAATGTATCCTTAGGAGGTGACTCTCTTCTTGTTTCTTTGACCAGAATGCCTTTTAATTTAGAGGTCCTAAAGAATAGAATAAATTAGCTTGTTTGTTTTGTACAACCCAAAGATGTTTGTTTTGTTTTTACTTTGCTTATTGTTCATTCTTTGTACTGTGGGATGCAATTGCCTTTTTTACATTCTTTGTTTAATTCATTCACAGCACCTTGTGGAGGCAATCTGACGGGATCATCGGGTTTTATTCTTTCACCAAATTTCCCACATCCTTATCCCCATAGCAGAGACTGTGACTGGACTATTACTGTTAATAATGACTACGTAATATCATTAGCTTTTATCAGGTAAGTATCTGCTTAGTAAAATTTCAGTAATATACTCATTCAAGATTTCTTTGTTTTCCCAAAGGTGCTTTTTCAAAAGACAACTGGACTTTCTTTGATTTTCCTTGAAGATGTTTTGCTTCTCATCCAAGAACTCCAGAACTGAAGAAGCTTCTTGGATGAGACACAAAATATATTCAAGGAAAAACAACGAAAGTGTAGTTGCCTTTTAAAAAAGTATCTCAGGAACAACCGTAACCTAGATGACTGAAAATTTCCATAGACATCTGTTTGGTTTGGTTTTTGTAAGCCTGATAAAATATCTGCTTTTCAAATCCAAGCACTGTTAGCTTCCAGAGTAACACATTTAATGAGGTTATCATAAATGTTTTTTCAGTTCTTATGAGATACAGCTATTGAGATATTTGCTCAAAAAATTAAGAATTATATATTAAGACACTTTTGACTTCAGTACTTAGAGAATGATCGTATCATCGTATTTAATTTCTAACCTGTTCATTTGTCAACTATTTCTAGACAACCTAGAAAATTCATCAATAGCAATAAATCTAAACCTCAAAATTAAAGCTTTTCTGCTGTTCTTTATATCCTGGTATGAATATTTATCACTCCATCAATACTAAATATCTATAGCAAGGCAAAAAAAATGAATAGTCTAGAACACAACTAGATCAACTGGGGAAAAGTGTTTGTTTTATTTATTTGTTTACTTAAACATTATTTCATTGCTTGTATTTCTTGTCTGCCCTTTGGTTTAAATTCCCTGAGCAATATCCAATTAAAGGAATAAGGCAATACAATTAATGTACCCAGAAATAGTGCAGGGAATGAATTATGCCAATCAATAAAAGACAGCCAAGCAATAAAAAGAAAAAGAAAATAAAATTGAACAGCTATTATGAGAATGTTAGGTATCTTGGGAAAATCTTTAAACCAATAAGATGCCAAAACCAATGCTTGATGACTTGCCTTTTTAGAGAATTTAGGATATTTTGTATGTGAGCTACGACTTGTAAATATATTGTTTTATTCTTTTGCTGAAGACTTGGGGGAAATTGTAAGATTTAGATCTAAGACTGTTAGAAGAGTGGCAATAGGCACTGATTTGTTTTCCGGAAGTTCCTTAATTATAACATGAAGGTCTCCATCTGCCTTTTTAGTTTATGAAGATATAGCACATAGAAAAATGTATCTTATGAACAATACTCTACAAAACCAGTTATCAGGGAGTTGGTGAGTTCATTGAAACTGACTTCATTTAATCTTAACATGAATTTGCAATCCTCAATGGCTTTGCTCAACCCTTTGGATCTATGCATTCTAGGTTTTTTACTATTAGGCAAGTTTAAAGAGTAAAGAATCAAGGTTAATGTCCCCTTTACTTTTACTATAATATTGACACAAAGAATATAGTTTTCACCACTTCTAAGAAATTATAGTGTCAATGGTAAGTTTGAAAGAAGAACATAGCCTTAAACAGAAGCATGGTGCCAGGTATGTGGGTGGGTATAATTAATAAATTAAATAAAGTCAATCACTTAGTCAGTGCTACCCTTCTTGTAGGAGGCAAAACAGGTTTAACTTACTACTATAAATGGGATTAGGTTTAAGAGGGGTTTTATTTGCTTTGTTTTTATTTTTAAGAATGTTGGTAACATTATCCTTCTCTTTTATATTAATTAGTAGTTGTTTATGTAAAATAGGTTTATTTTTAAAACAGATTTGGTAAAGAAAAAAGACATATTTACTATTTTTACTTTTGGGGGTGAATTGGATAACCCAGATTCCTAAGAAATCTTCTCCCTTGTTTTCTTCTGAAGTGCATCCATGGTGTGAATACAGAATTTGTGCCTCTGGTTCTGTCTCTTATATAATAATTTTAGTGCAATCCTGCCTTCCAATATCCAATGTTATGCTTCAGAAATTGTAGTTGATAATTGTTGTTGCATAAAGATGAAGGAATACATTGAATTTGAATACAGGTAATCCCCCACGTATGATCATAACTGAGCCCAACATTTCAGTTGCTAAGTGAGTTTTGCCCTATTTTACAACCAGATTCATTTAACACAATTGTTAAATGAATCTGGCTTCCCCCTTGACTTGGTTTGCCAGAAGGTTCAAAAGGTAGACTTAGATTTCATTGTCACTTTGAATGTACACTAATCAGCATACATTAAAATGAAATTTCATTGCATACAGCTCTCAAAGGGTCACCACCTCCAATATACACTACATAAAAACATGACTAAATAAATAAATACATACATACATGCATACAAAATTATGCACATACCCACATATTTATAAGACACAGAGAAACAACACAGTCTACTTCGGATGTATATGTGTACATGGTGAGAAAATGAATCTAGTGAGTTTATCAGATGGATGACATAGGGAACAAAACTGTTACAGAATCTGGTAGTACTGCTAGAAATACTTCAAAACCTCCTCCCAGAGGAGAGCAACAGAAACAGACCATAAAGTGGATTTGGGATGACATAGTACATCTAAGCAGTATCCTGAATAACAGGAAGTAAGCTTCCTATCATCCTCTCAGCTGTCCTTACCACTCTCTGTATGAACTTTCTATCAGAGGCACTGCTGTCCCCAAACCAAACCATGATGCAATTTGTTAAAATGTTTCTCAGTTGTGCCTCTGTAAAAAGTGACTAGGACAGAAGGAGAAAGGTGTGCTCTCCTCATTTGATGCAGAAAATGCAGACACAATTTGATCACATGAACCCAGGATATTGCAACGGTTATAAATGAATGCCAATTGCCAAGCGGGGTGACTTTTGATCACATGACCATGGGGAGGCTGCAAGAGTTGTAAGTGTAGAAAAATGGGTTACAAGCCACTTTTTTCAGTGCCATTGTAATTTTGAACAGTCAGTAAATCAATGGCTGTATGTCAAAAACTAGCTGTACCATGTTGCATATTGTATGGCATGAGAAGCTGCTGGTGCCTGTTCCTTGTGGACAATGATACCTGGAAATAGAGAGGACGATATAGAGTGAAATGAATGCCATGCTGCTGTATAACATTGCACCTTTAAGTATCCAATGAATGAACAGGAACAGGTCAATAAGATGGAAGCAATAAGAATTATGCTGAGTATTTATGATGTTATATAATTCAGCTCATAAAGGTTTAATGCAGACAATCTGTATCTTTAGTTCCTATACTAAAATAGGTTTACAGCTTTTGGAAGAGATGAATGTTTGAAATTAAAGGGAAATGTCATCGTCAGATTAAGACTCCATTTTATAAACCACATATTTACATACTACCATTGCTTAGGTGAACAATGCTGTCTTACTTATTAAATGTTATTTGTTCAAATTCTCAAAAATAGTTGAGGATCTAAAACAAAGTTGGAGATTAAATAAAGCAAATCTATTAACCATTGTACCTTTTTGGATCTACGAAGGATAAAAAGGATGACATATTTTTGAAAGAAAAGAGCCAACAAAAATGTCATGACAAATTTTATGAAAGAGGATAAATAAAATGATCTTAAAAAGACACCAAGAAATGCATACAGAAAGAAATAAAATTTAATTATTTTAATTTTCTGACACTTTAAATATTAATTTTCTTCTCTGAAACAAGAAAAAAAAACCAGTCAAATGCATTTTATTAGGAGGAAACCCACATTTTTATGCCAACATTCAAAGGAAGTTATGTGGTTATTTATTCAATCTATATCCCCACTTTCCTTTAGGAGCTGAAGATGATGGACAAAAAAACTTCTCAAGATGTTCCCATATCTAAATTTAAACCACACTGGTTCTCATTGGTTCTTTCCAACTAGTATTCAAAAGATTATGCAAATGATAAGCATCCAATTTATAAATAAAAGAAGAAAAACTGACGAGCATTTTTAATGCACTTTCAGCGCAACTGGAGAGTTCTTTCCTTATTAAGATATCCAAGCAAATATAAGGTTGCTGCACACTGACCATTAGAAGAGAGTAATTATATCTAATAGTTTGAATTCATGCTTATCGTTACACTAAAAAATAGAAACAATGGTGAATACTTAAGACTAGGTATTATGTATACTTAAGACTTATTTCCATAATCCCAGTGGTCTACATTAATTATTGGATAAGCAATATTTTTATCTAATGTGATATATACATATATATTTATTTTTTAAAATTTTACAGCTTCAGCATAGAACCAAATTATGACTTTCTCTACATCTATGATGGGCCAGACAGCAATAGCCCATTAATTGGAAGTTTTCAAGATAGCAAATTGCCAGAGAGAATAGAAAGCAGTTCAAACTCAATGCATCTGGCTTTTCGAAGTGATGGATCTGTTAGTTTTACTGGGTTCCATTTGGAGTATAAAGGTAAGTAACTTTAACTCTGTTCTTAACATGGGTCATAGATGTTGACACACGCAATCCGATGCAACTACTTTACAGTTCCTGTTTGCATTGTGTCAAGCATCAAGTCATTTTGCTTATTTACCTTTTTCACTTTACCTTATTTGTGACTTATTTAATTCTTATTTCATGTGAAATGATTGCTTACTTATGTTACTTACTTATGGTATTTATGTTAAATGATTATAGAGAGTCCTCAGTATGACAAACTGAGGCTGCAATGATGGCCATAAATTATTGCAGTCATTAAGTAGGTAACCATCTAACTGTGCACTATTTTATAAACATGTGAATGTAGTTGTTATCAAGCAAACTTGTTTTACCTAAACAGCATTTTTTTTTGCCTGGAAACCAGATGTAAACAGCAGAAAACAGCAAAATATGTCAAAAAATATGGTCATATGACCATAGGAACCTGCAAATGACTGTAAATGTGAGCCAATGCCTATACATTGAAAATAAGATCATATGGTTGCAGCCATTGGAACTCCAACACTAGGTTATAAGTACTTTTTGTGGTTTGTTGTAATTTCCAACAATCTTTGAAAAACTAGTTGTAAAGCAAGGACTACTTTGTTTTTCCAAAAATAAGATCCAACCATCCAACTAGTGTGATTTTCAGGATGCTCGTATTATAAGCCCTACCCCAAAATAAGCCCCAGTTAAGTTTGTCAGCCAGACAGGTGCGTTTAGTGCTGTATTTCCCTGAAAATAAGACTAATTGGAAAATAATCCCTATATATCTTTTGACCAGTCTTATTTGGGGGGAAACATGGTACTTATAGAAAAGCTCTTTGATTTTAAAACATCATAATGTGGTGACATCCTCAGGACCTCACTGTTTTTGGTATTGTGACAAAAGCATGTTATAGCGTTATAGCATTGTGCTGTAAACTCTGGTTCTTGTGTGTGGTCTGTAGCCTCAAAACACAGATAGAAAAGAGACATGCATTAAACTGCCACAACACTGCTTTCATTAGTCTGAACCTTATACTGCCCCACAGTTAAAAATCATAAAAAAATGGTGGGAAAGAAAATGAATGAAACACTCGATCCTTTATAAGAATTCTGATTACTTTGTGTTTTTGTTTTATGTTTAAAGCAAAATTGGTAGTGAGAGAAAAGGAAGTTGTTTAGCACAAGGGAAATAAAGATCTAAGAGGCTTTTGACATCTTTCTTTGCAAAGATTATTTTAGACTACTTAATGGCATAACATGTAGTTTGAAAAAGAAATGGTGCTTATAATTATGGTGCTTATAATTATTTTGCTGGTTGTCTCGTATGGGTATGCCATATTTTAAAAATCCAGTACATCAAATTAAATGTAGTTTTTCTAACAGTAGCGTTGTCTTTTCTCTCTGCTCAAATTAAAGCCAAGTTACGTGAGTCATGCTTTGATCCTGGGAATATCATGAATGGTACAAGACTTGGAATGGATTATAAACTGGGATCGACAGTCACATATTATTGTGATGCTGGCTATGTTCTTCAAGGATACTCTACCCTTACTTGTATCATGGGAGATGATGGAAGACCTGGATGGAACAGAGCCTTACCTACTTGCCATGGTAAGATATTAGCATTTGTTCATTCATTTATTCAATCATTCATTCATTCATCCTCCATCCATGATGGTGATGCTTTTATGGGTGCATGATGAAATGTATGACTTACATAGGGATTCACATGAAGTATTGCTGTTCTCCTTTATTTGTTACTTTCACAAGCTGGTTATGTATTGCACCAGAGTGGTTCTTATGAATACAACATCAAAGTATCCTTCTCCTGTTTTCCATTCAGTCATCTGGAATGCTGCCTCAAATAACAAGAACACACATGGGACAGAGGGGTGGGTATATTCCCAGAGGGGTGTGTATATTCTCTGGAAAAACAACAGCAACAACACTGATGTTAGATGAATATCAGTTTTCTCACTGGAATTCAGGCTATCCCATCACAAAATACTGTAAAGCTGGTCATCCAATGGAACTAGGCTTCAGACAATTTTATGTTTAATCTGAGAATTTTTAGTAATAATACTTAGTGTGGTCAGTTGTCACAACTTTACTAACATGAGAAGACTGAAGAAATGAATTTTGCATTGCACCAACTATCTAAGCGGCTTTTTCAACATGCTGCCCACGATGATTATGTGAACTACTAAAATTATTTCATTATCCCTAATCATTTCCATCTTGACTATTGCAACACGCTCTACATGGGGCTGCCCTTGAAGAGCATTCAGAAGCTCCAGTTGGTGGGAAAAGGCAGCGGCCCACATGGTTTTGTGCAGACTCCAGTGTGCACATGTATTACCTCTTCTGTGGGAGCTGCTTTGTCTGCCTATTTGCTACTAGGTGCCATCCAAGGTGGTGGTTGCCACCTTTAAAGCCCTTCATGGCTTGGGACCAACTTATCTGAGGGACCGTCTCTTACCAATCACATTTACCTGACCCATCAGAAAGAGGAGGCAGGGAATGCTGTGGGTCGCATCACCAAGGGAGATACATCTTGTGGGACCCAGAAGAAGGGCCTTCTCTTTGGTGGCTCCCTCTCTCTGGAACATCATTCCCCCACTGAAATGCTCTTCTGGAAGGCACTGAAGACCTGGTTCTTCCAGTGAGCCTGGGGAACCCAGAGCAGGTTGGAGCCCATTAAATGGCTTGTGTGATATGCTGTCGCCGGGGGTGGGGGTGTGATTTTATTATTATATTAATTTATTTGATTCTTTTTATTAGTTTTATTGTTTAAAATGCTGTTTTATATTCTGTAAGAGTTGCCATGGGCAAATAGGTAGCAATAATAAATAAATAAATAAATAAATAAATAAATAAATAAATAAATAAATAAAT